AATTTGCTCAACAACGGGGGCAACAAAGGTGTCGTAAAACGGGGCAAAATTCACCTGACCGACGTCTCTCTTAGCAACATAAATCTGGGGCTCAATTGCGGTCATAAATCAAGGACTGCCTGTGTTGGTGGGGGGGGGGCACTATTTTTTTCCCCCCAGGCTCCTCCGTTTTTTAACTCAAATTGTTTGGTTCAGGAAGGAAAAGAAAAAAAAAACACCTTGAAACAAAGAACGAATTTCGCCTCCCCGCCCGAGTCACACTTTTGGCCTCGTACCAAACTCGCTTCTTTTGAGAGTGAAAAGTTGTTTTTCCCTCCTCGGTTGCTTATTGTGGCTTCCGACACTATCACACTTGGCTCTTTTGTGCAACGTTTCCGTGATGGAAGACGAGGGGAGAGATGGAGACAAGAGGGGGCCTGTCAAAAATGCTTATTTTGGCGTTTCCTCCCCCTGCGCTCTTAAGGGGGGGGAAATAACCCCAGCCAAGTTGGGAAAGAGAGACTGCTGGTTGATGTCTTTGATCGTACCGTTAGAATGAGACACCCGTGAGATCATCCAGACCTACCCAAGAAGTGAGATTTCTGTCTACATCAGTGGTAGTCAACCTGGTCCCTACCGCCCACTAGTGGGCGTTATAGCTTTCAGGAGGGCGGTAAAGGGTTTGCTGCAACTCTGCTTTATAAATTTTATAAAGTAAAGTTACTTCCCTACTTTATAAATCAACATTACTGTGGAACCGGTGGGCGGTTAGAAAATTTTACGACTAACCGAGATACAAAAGTGGGCGGGAGGTATAAAAAGGTCAACTACATTCTGGGCAGGACAACAAAACGAGCAAAATAATAGTCCAGTCCTCAACTTACAACCCCTTGATGAGCGCCCGTTTGAAGTCACAGACCCAAAAAATAATGACTTAAGGCCGGTCCTCAGACTTATGACCGCCATAGTCACGGGATCAAAATTTGTTGCTGGGCAAACAGCATGGATTTAAAACAGCTGCCGCATCCCGAGGTCCAGGTTATCACCGTTAAGTGACCTTCCCAATCGGCTCCCGACAAGCAAAGTCGATGGGGGGAGTTGGATTCACTTAACAACTGTGGGATTCGTTTAACAACTACAGGGGTTCGCCTAGGTGGCTCAGTGGCTAAGACGCTGAGCTTGTCGATCAGAAAGGTCAGCAGTTTGTCGGTTCAAATCCCTAGTACAGGTCTCCTGCGTGAGCAGGGGGTTGGACTAGATGACCTCCAAGATCCCTTTAGGGTCTGTTCAATGTCACAACAGGCCTGAAAAAAATGACTTTGGACCATTTTTCACACTGACAACCACGATTCTTGTAGTCACGTGACATATTTTGGATGCTTGCCAACTGGTTCATATTTATGACTGTTTCAGCATCTAGGGAGACACGTCATCCCTTTTTGCGACCTTCTGAATGGGAAAGCCAGATTCACTTAACAACCGGGTTTCTAACTTACCCACCACAGCGATTCACTTAACAACGTGGGCAAGAAAAGTTGCAAAACGGGGCAAAACGCACTCCACCGATGTCTCGTTGAGCCGCGTAAAGTTTGGGCCGTAAGTCAAGGACCAGCAATGGAAATTTTGATCTCAATTGTCTGGACGTTAAGTCGAGGACTACCTGGGCTGACTGGGGCCTGATGGGAGTTCAAGGCAGCTCGGGAAAACCATGTTTTTGGCGGCACGTTTGGAGAACCCCCTCCGAATGATAACAGCGTCGGCGTACGGGACTGCACTGCTAACGCAAAGGTTTTTCGTAATTTCCGACGCGCTGCAGAAACAGATGATGCCGAGGGCGGAGTGCAATTAGCTTCTTTGACACGGTGGTTTTTCCAGGCCTTCTCCATGGCAGGGAAGAAAGAAAGAAGTGGGGGGGAGAGGAAGGAAAAAGAAGAAAAAAGACCTATTGGAAATCAATACTGGGAATTATTGCAAAGGCAATGGGGCATTCTGCATCGCAGCCAAGCAACGTGTTGCTTATTGGGTTTGTTAAAAGATAACACACACGTTGTGCGTGTTGGGAATTTAATAACAGCTGCTGGAATATGTATAACAAAAGAACAAAACAAAATGCAAGGAGCGTAGCTGGGAGCCCTTCAGTGCGGGAATTGTAAGGCGGTAAAGATCTGAGTAAATAGCATTTAGGAGCAGGAGGACAGGGGCTTGAATGGATATGGGAATCTTTTCAGATTACCGACGCTTCGGGCTTATCGTTGGGAATTTATCGCGTAATTGGACACAGCCGAATACAACTTTTGCCTTTGTGGGCCGCATTGATGTTCACGGCTCCGGCGTTTTCGGATACTTTTGCTGTGATCTTGGTTTAACATTAGGGACGCGGTGGCTCAGGGGCTAAGACGCCGAGCTTGTCAATCTGTGTTTTGCGAGCCTCCCGTTGGGTAGAATTGACAAGCCCCAGGGGAAGCGACGGAGTAAAGGGTTAGAGATCACCTTTCCCCAAAGGCGCTTTCCAAAGGGCCACTGGACTTCCTTTCTTTTCAGTTCTGGTCAAAACGGAAGAAGCTTCTTGGATGAGAAAGTGAAACCTCTTCAGAGAAAAACAAGAAAGGTTCCAAACAGCACCCAAAATTAAATCAGAATCCGAGGCAAAGTATTGCACAAAGTTCCAATTTATGAAGAGAGCCATGTTGACACATCTGGGAAAACCCATATCTGAAAGCTTCCCGGGTTTTCCCCACCCAGTTGAAAAGTCACGATCTTGCCCCCCGCCCCCAGACCCACAAGTCCATCACATGGTCCAATCTTCCACTGCCATACTGGCAACTTCCATCCATCCAGTTCCGGTTGGGTGCAGAGGTGCAGAGACAAAGGGTTCACTGACAAAAGGGCGAATGACAAAACCGCGCCCGACTAAACCGCGGTGACAAAACCGCATGTTCTAAAGCGCTCCGACGAATGAGCGCTGAATCGCGCTGACAACAGCGCGACGACAGAAGCGCGCTCTAAAACTAAACCTAACCCTAACCCTAAACGTAACGCTAAACCTAACCCTAAACCTAACCCTAAACGTAATGCTAAACGTAACCCTAACCCTAAACCTAACCCTAAACCTAACCCTAAACCTAACCCTTA